CAACAAATGCTGGCCAGGGTGTAGAGAGATTAGTACCCTCCTAACATTGCTGGTGGGACTTTGAAATGGTTCAACCACTCTGCTATGGCAATGCCTCAGAAAGTTGGAAATAGCAGTACCTTATGACCCATCCATTCCTCTACTTGGTTGTTGTTGTTAAGTGTCGTTGAGTTGGTTTGGGTTTCTGCAGTGAACTGCCGACCTTTTAATTCAAACCGACCTTGTGGTCCAGTGCTACACCAAGTCTTCTAGGTATATATCCTATGTATCATGTTAAGTGCTGTCATGTCAGTTCCGATTCATAGCGATCCTGTAAAAGATTCTGAGAGGTGGCTAATAGAGTTGAACCCACCTACTTAGAGTTTCAAACCATCATTGAGGTTGAGTGCTCATCCTAGACACATTTAACTCAGGTAACGGGGAAGGCAGTATACAAGAAGAGGGAGGGTGGCAGAAGAATGATGAAGATAGGTGACGACACAGGGAGGTGTGCAAGGACTAAAGGGGGTAGAGATATTGGAATAGTAGTGTTCTGCTTGTTGATACATGGACAGAGATACAGGCTGAGTGGTAATGGGAGGAATTCTTGTTAAGTGTGTAGTGGTATTTCATTATGGTTTTAATTTTTTTTTTTTGCCAATTACTAATGATTGAATAACTTTACATGTGCTTATTTGCCATCTGCATGATTTTTGAAGGGTCTTTCATAGTCTTTTGCCCATTAAAAAATTTGGGTTGTTTTATAATTGTTTAATGTTGAAAGTTACATTGTAACATAAGTTCCTTATAAGATACAGTAAAACATATATATATCCCACATATATAGGATTTTGAAAGAAGATAAGCTGTTTATACATGCATAGCAACAGGGAGATAAGGAGAACTGTTGTTTTATGGAGAGGATTGCAATCATTGATATGAAACAACATATGATTTGTTGATTATAAAACTGATGATCTTGTCTGTAAACCTTCACTCAATTCAGAGTAATTTGTCTAGTGACATTTGTTTTTTAAAAATGTCGTTTTTCTACTGAATTGCCTTTGTACCTTTGTCAAAAATTGTTTGTCTTTATGTGCTGTGTGGTTTTCTGGACTCTTATTTGTTCCACTGATTTTTCAGTATATGCCATTACTGTGCTGTTTTGATTTACCATAGCTTTATAACAATTCTTAAAATCAGGTAACGTTAGCCCTGCTACTCTGCTCTTTTTCAAAGTTGTTTTGTCTTTTCTAGAGCATTTGCATTTCCATATGATCTTTATAAATACTAATTTTAAAACAGTCAATTAAAAAAAAGCCTGCTGAGAATTTAAGTGGCATTGCTTTGACTCTATAGATCAATTTAGGGGAGAACCATGAGGCCAGGATGGCCAAACTTCATCTCATATACTTTGGACATATTGTCAGGAGGGCCAGTTGCCGGAGAATAATATTATGTTTGGTAAGGTGGAGAGTCAGAGATAAAAAGGGAGACCCCCAGTGAGATGGATTAGCCAAGTGGCAGCACCAATGGATCAAGCGTGGCCACAGTAGTGAGGTTGGCCCAGGATCGGGCAGTGTTTCCTTTTGCTGTGCATAAGGTCGCTATGAGTCTGTACCGACTCGATGATACCTAACAACAACAATAACAACATGCAACAACAACAGGGGTTGCTATGGAATCCTGGTGTGGCACTGCAAGATAGGATAATGTGCTGGACTGCAAGGTCAGTTTGAGCCACAAGGTCGGCGGTTCAGACCTACCAGTTGCTTCTCAGAAACCCTATACAGGGTTGCTATGAACAAAATGTATAATTGTATGCTTCTTTTTTTCACCAACTTAAATTTTTTCACAAAATTATGTGGAAGCAAAATGGTTGGAACCCACTCGACGGCACTTAACAACAGCGTCACTATGAGTTGGAACCAACCCTATAGCACTGAACATCATTTGAAAAAAATATATAGAGTTTTCTGACTCTTGAACATGGTCTTTCTACACTTTTATTTAGGTCTTTGATTTCTGAGTGTTTTGTAGCTTTGAATGTACATGATTTTCATGTTTGCTAGCTTTATCTCTTAAGTATTTAATATTTTTTTGTAAACAATATTTCAAAACTTGCTCTTTAAACAGGTCTTGTCTAATAAACATGTGGCTCCTGATCATCTGTTGCAAATCTGCCAGCGCATTGGTCCTATTTTGGATAAAGAAATTCCACCCAGTATTTCAAGAGTGACTTCTTTACTTGGTGCAGGAAGACAGTCTTTGCTACGTACAGCAAAAGGTACCTTAATTTGAAGAAGTGTTCTGCTTTGTATTATTAGTTTAAAAATTATAATTGTGAAGTAATGTAAGCATTGTGGAAGAAAGGTGATATGTAACTATAAATCATACTGTGGACTATATAATTCTCTGCATTTAGCATAGTACAATAAATTTTATTAAGTGTTTAATGAGTCCTGCATTTAAAAATGATTAAGGTATAGATGTTAAGCTAAAAATCTTGAATTCTGAGATGTGTTTGAGGTTTTATTAATGTGAGTTCTTATTTTTCCATTTTGTAGCTTAGTTTTAACTTCACTGAATGTAACTGTATGTTTAATAAAGTCTTTTAAATGTTAGAAGTATCTCATTTGATATTTAGATCCTGAAATTTTCTAAATTTGATAGCAGTTTGAAAATATGAACCAAA